CGCCGGCGGAATACTTGTATCACATCTACGGTAATTAACACGCCCTAGTGCCATGTGGCATTAGGGCGCTGTGGAAGCCAGGACCACGCCTACGTCACTAATCGTAACGTCGCTGTTGCACAGATGTGTGACGGCTGCGTGGAGGACCTCCATGCCCTGGATGACTTCTCCGAAGGCGCACGCGAACCGCCTTCCGGGCTGGTCCTTCATGCAGATGTGGAAGAAGGCGTCGAACTCTGGCTTGCCCGCGTTGGCACCGACCACGAGACCGCACTTCTTTTCCTTGATGTGCTCGCCGCCCCATTCTAAGTGTCCCGTGAGCGCCTGGACGCTGGTCAGACCTTCAGGAGTCAGGTATTTTCCCCCTGCCAGCGTCTCTCCCGGCGCTCCTCTCTTGGCCACGCCGTGGAACTTGCTCCTCCGGTAGGAAGGCCCCAAGGAGCCCAGGCAGAGAGCGAGGAAGTGCTGGGCGCGGCGGATTCGACTCCACAGGCGGATGTAGACCCGGCCGAGACACCGCCCCTCCGTCTCCAATACGAGGAAAACCTCTTGGTAGTCTTCTGGCACTAAGTACTGCAGAACGGACATCTACGGGAAGGGAAAAATGGTGTTACTAGAAGCATTCTGAGAAAGGTTTGTGAACAGTTAGTTTAGAACATCTGATCCTTTTCACAGACTACTTCAGTTCTGCAAGGAAACTTTTTCATCGATCTTTCAACTCACAGCATACCTGTAAAACATACTTCATACCTGCACCATGAAGTGGGGATCCTCTATTTCTTCTCCGAGAGCGTACATGTGGAGGCGGCCGCCCTCCCATCTCAGCTTTCCTCTCCTCCCGCCTGGGCCTACCACGCAGCACTTCAGCGGCCAAGGAACTGGGCCTAAGAGGGTTATCACGCCAGCGTCCCTCAGGGTGTGGCTGGTCTCGCGGCCCGTGCTGCTGCTCGAGCTGATTTGTCTTGCTACAAGAAGCTTGTTCCCTATGCTGTCCTGCCGCGCCAAGGAGGAGTCGGACGAGCTGTCCGTCCTGTCCTCAGGCACAACAGCGTCCGATATTGAAGTTGAGGAACTTGGAGTATTCTCTTCGGGGGCATTAGTCTGCTCGGTCTCTTCGAACTCGGTCTCTTGATATTCCACGTCGGGTGAAGATTCCTGGCGCAGGAAGCCGAGAGGAGAAGCGGAATCCGCCTCGCTGCAGGAGCTGCATCTCAAAGAGCGATCGCTCACAGTCCTTGTTCTCGTGTCCCTCTGTGCTACTCTCATGAATTCCTCTCGAAGACTTCCGAGCATCGAAGACGATACCAAAATAGATTCAATATTGGTTGCGTCAACGATATCAGCCATAATGTTCTGGGCATTCTGGGTAGAGTTCCACAGCACAGCACTCTCTTCTACTCCTGCGATGATCTGTGCTGTCCACTCACTGAACCTGCTGACGCAGTGGCTCTTTCTGTTACTTATCTCTTGGATGAGCTCGGTGCACTCACTTAGGATATACTCCTTCCGCTCTGCAATGAAGTCCGTGCCTCGCACGACCTTGTGGTCATCCTTGACGTGCTCCTCGAGGAGGCAGTGGCCGCACAGGGGTAGTTGGCAACTGCGGCACCAGAACTCTACCGGCGACCCATGTCTCTGACATCCGTGACACTGTGGCAAAAGAGTAGACAAGAAAAAAATATATAATAAACTGATTAATAAATAAATACATACACGGGTAAACAAATGCATATTGGAAGAACTTGTAAAAAAGGGTAACAATAGCAATGCGAATTACATCTGAGACAGCGCCTGACACTACAAGCATCCTTTCAAGAATTCCTCTCAAAAAGGGTTATTATTCTTACTGCACGGTCATCTTTTTTCTTGACGTGGAACATATCCACTAATTTGGATTAGGCTATCTGCTTAATCATCTGAAATTTTGAACAGTCTAATGGTTGTGTTTAAAGATCAAAAGGAAGTTCGTCGGAGGTCAGCAAAATATTAAAAAATCAGTAAGTAATCACAAGGGACAATCAGTGATTTAGCATTAAAGCACATATAAAATCATTAAAAACTTCACCCATCATCAATCACATTTGTATTGTATTCATAATATTATCTATAAAACTTTATTGATATCAAACTTTTTGCTGCAGCGCTAATTTACATCACTTTAAACAGTGGAAAATTGAAGTAAATTAATGATTAAAAGAGACAATGGACATAAAAAAAAGCAAAATGAGACTTATTCCACTCTTTTACTCGGCTGCTATTTGTTTGTTTTGATTTATCGACGCTCCTTTACTCATGACTATCATAGTTCGGACTGTAAGAGATAAAAGTAGTCTATCACCGGCCAACACAAACCTCGGACTTCCTAAAGTGCTCAGACAGACTCAGGAGAGCGAAGACGGTGGGCAGCTGGTCAATGGGCGGTCCTATATAGCTCTGCCTGCAGGTGGGACAGCTGAGGCGCCCTGTGTTCTCCAGGTTGCACAGACACGGCCTGCAGAAGGTGTGGCCGCAGAGGGGCAGGACGACCGGCTCTCGCGTCCCTCTCGTGTAGAGCTCAGAGCACACGATACACGTCACCTCCTCCTCCATCCTTGCTGTGGCGTGAACGGAGATGAATTTTCATTCGACTTCTATTATAGAGAGAAAGTAGAGTATTTCATAACGTGACACTGTGGAGGACCTCGGTTACTGTCATTTACAGCGGATACTGTCTCCCTAACTAGCATCTGCCTCTTATAATCTTCCTGACTTTTACTGATAATGGACTTCCTGTCTCTGCACGAGCTCTGTCTTCTTGTGTACCATTTTTAGCGTTTGGTTAGTCTTACTATTAGCAAATGAGAATAAGTGCATACTTTTAAAACAGAGGAGGACGAGAACACAGAAGGAATAGATCATATGAATACTGTATTTAAAACTGTGAAAGCAAGTAATACGTAATCATTACATAACATACTTTTCTCAGTGGAACCGCTTCTTTAAGGCATCGAAACCTATTTGTATTAAAAAAACAACAAAAAAACACCCAAATATGTACAGTTAAATTTGACGTACCTGACACAAGCACTGACTTGGTGTTATTGGCCATGCTTTGATGAACACCGCGCACTGAAAGCACATTAAAACACACAGGCGATATTCATTTCAGGGGTCAGTGAACCGTCGAACAAGCACACAATAACCTGTGCTTGGGAAATTCTGTTTTTTTCCGCCATTCATAAATTTCACGTTATTCGCAGCTCACTCGTTCCACCCAGCGTCCAGGCGAAGGGGTTCCTCTCTGGGGCGCACACGAAGCACTGGCTTCTGAGCTCGGTGCCAGCGCAGGATGTGGACGTCAGGGCCTCAGGTGCTTTCGGAGAAGTGATGACGTCATTCACTGTCACTTCTTATCAGTTTTCCAAACAGATTGTTAATCTGGCTCTATGAATGATTTACCATATACCAATGCTGTTGTGATTTTCTATATGATATTTTGATGCAGGACGGCAGGTCTCTTAAATGAGCTACATAAGCGCTATTACTAGGCATTCTGTCAAGAACCGGAAAAGATTGTACTTTTTTGTAAAAAGGAAATGCCTCAGCTACTTTCGTGACGTTATCACGCAAAACATAACAACATAAACAACAGCATAATAAATATTAGTATACAAATCGTAATCATAACATCAAAATCTAATATACGACGCTACAATGAATCATATATATGTATACAAACAGACTTTACTTTCGAGCGGACGAAGAGAACAAAGGAATACCATATGTCAGTTTCGACATAAGGCTGGAAAACTAAGGCCGGACGTTGGCCATCAAGCCGGCTTCTTATCAAAGGTCAGTCCACTTGGGTTACTTTGGGGAAGATTTATTTTAGTTAGCTACGAAAGTCTTTTCTTTCTTTAGATCAACATTTTCAGAATGACTGAATTTTGTCAGTCTTTGTCATTTCATATCATTCATGTGATTTTCTTTCCAGTTCTCATAGGTCTGCTTTTCTTCAGTCCTAAATTGTGTATAAACATTGAAAGGCGTGATGCGAGAAGCAAATCTGTGTTTTCCTGTCCATCTTCACTGCTTGGAGGCGTGTGTGTGGTGAAGACTGAAGGCGGAGAATCACACGTGTTCACAGCGCTGCTGGTCTGTGAGGACGACGCCGACCTCACTGATGGAGACCTCCGTCACGGGCTCGTGTCTGGCGGCCTCCCTCACCACCTCCATGCCCTCCGCGCCGCCCGCTACCTCTCCGAAGGGGCACGAGAACTTCTTGGCCGGGTGGTCTCGCGTGCAGATGTCGAAGCAGCCGTCGTACTCCGGCTTCCCCCCGCTGGCCGCCACCACCAGCCCGGCCCTCTTCGGCAGGCAGTGGTCCCCTCCCCACTCGAGGCCCTCCATCAGGCCCATGGCGCTCATCGCACCCTCTGCGCTCATGTAGTGGCTGACGCGGAGGCATTCCCCGGCCTTGTCTTTGCTCTCCACCTTGCTGAACTTGGAGCCCCTGAAGGACGGGCCGAGCGAGCCCAGGCACAAGGCCAGGAAGTGGCGAGCCCGGCGGAGGTGGCCCCAGAGCCGGATGTAGATGCGGCCGAGGCGACGCCCCTCAGCGCATAAGTCAAGGAACACTTCGGGCGACTCTTGCAGGATGCACTCCACGACAGACAGCTGCCGTACAAAAAGTAAAAAGATAAAAATGAGGACCTCTGCCACAGGCTCTCCAGGGTCTAAGGGAAGGCATTGATACTGACAGATTCTAGCAGGCGACCATTGTAGGATACCTTGCAATGAATTATAGTAAATGAAGAATGTCCTGTCTTTGTCCTTGGTCTTTCATCATGACATTAAAATTGCTTTTAAAGCATAAATGTTTCTCTTTATTGGAAATAAATTATCAGACTTGCCGCACATTTTTCATTCTTGATTTCAAAGGCAATAATAATTAACCCTCTCCTCCTTAGCGGAAGGTTCGTACGCTCATGGCAATCCCATCACTGATAAAGATATTGGCA